TTTTGTTTTTTGGCAACAGAATTGGCACATTTGTCAAATTGGTTTGTAATCGTCTAAAAACTTTGGTTTCTTAGGGACAAGTTTCTTTGGATGAATTTATTTTTAATTTTTCCAATTTTTCATTTCTTTGAGCTGACATAGGACTTACAATATTTGGATTGCTCAAGGTGTGAAACAAATTCGTTCTATGCCTAGCGATGACTTAAAGTCGTATTTCTTTGTTAACCTTTCTAATTGAATCAATGTTCTCTAAGATTGAACAAACAGTGAAAGTAATAACTATAGTTTTTCATTGATAAAATGTATATTCTGGTATAATCTATTTACTTATTTAGGATTCTATCAAGTTTGTGGAAAGCTTGTATGGCCAACGGTCATGTAAATCTTGAATGTATACTTGCTACGCATCATTGAGTAATGTTTCTTGATTTATCTTCCTTGATTATCAAATATCAAGGGAATACTTATACATTCTCAACTTATATCCTTAAGCAGGATATAATAATTCTCTTTATGGAGTTTTTTTGATTAATATGACCCTATATTTTATGCTTATATCAATCTGTCACTGCAGGTTAAGACAATGAGGGCTCTTCAGTATTTTCCAACTATTGAAGATCCGAACACTAGAAGATCATTATTTGAGGTCTTTCTTTCTCTTTTCAACAGTAATTTAACAAATAAATTTGTATTTAGATTTCATAAATCTTTTGTATCTAGATTTTGTTGATTTTCAAATGGCACGTCTTTTGGCTAACTAGGTTTTACAACGGATACTAATGGGAACTGATGTTGTGAAAAATGTGAACAAGAATAATGCATCACATGCTGTTCTCTTCGAAGCCCTTGCTCTTGTAAGTATGCATTTAAACTGTGCACAGTTTTAAAGTCACCGTCTAAAGTCATGCCTAATCTTCAGAAACAATGTTTAAGAAACCTCTTTCTTGTTTGTTTGGCCTCCAAGATTTTTCTATTCATAATTAATGACTGAGAATCTTAGTATTTGAGCAATTTATGTTTTTACATGCATACAATTCACTCACAGTTTTGCTCATTGCAATGAGAACTAGACAACAAATGTAGTAACATGCATTCAATTGAAAACGATCTTTTAATCCTGGAACAGTTTTGATCTGGGTATCTCTTGTTCTCGGTAAGTGTAAATATATAATATTATTTTATTATGAAGCAAAAAATTCTAGAAAAGAGGAAAGTTGGTTGTTTAAAAACAATATTTGCTGAATGTTTCTCTTGACAACTGGACAATATTTGTAGTTTCCAGTGTCCTTTTGAAGACACAATCTGATGAATTCTATGATACTTCTTCAAAGCAGCTTGTAGAGACCTAGTGGCAACATTTTTGGATTGTATGTAAACTTCCTAACCCCACCATCTCAAGCGTATATCCAAAAACTTATGATATCAATTGGATGCAATATGGGCTATACCACAGCAATTTCAGATTCAACAATGCTGTTATAGAGTTTAGACAAGGAATGTGTACCACTAGCAGCAAATGCTTTAGGTTGACTATATTTACAGATTGACAGATATAAACTTCCTAGTACCAGAGGACGTTAGTTTGTTTCTCACTTTCTTTTTATATGAAGTAGGACTGCCCCATTTATTTCATTCTTATATATGTTGCATTGTTTTGCTTTTGGGAGGTCAGATTTATTCCCCTTTCCTCTTGTTCTCGTGAGTTAGATTTTATATATGATAGGGGAATCCAAATCCCCATTAGTATTCTTTGATGGAGCCTGAAAACCCACTAAGACCGTGTTGGTGTTTTGCTTAAAAAGAAGAAGCTAGTTGATAGATAAGACATATATACGGCATTTAAATAGCATTTTCAACACAGCTCCTCATGTGTAGGTGGCAATTTTGTTTTAAATGAGTGGCAGCAAGATGTGGACCTACAACCTTTGCACGATTGATTCCATGTTGAACCAATTGATATAAAAGGATAATGCAATGTGTATATCATTTAAATAATGTTTTCAACAATGACATTCAACAACTTCTCTCCTTGAAGTTGATATTTTGATTTTCTTAAGAATCCTATCCTCCCCCCATTCTCGGGTGGTGGCAGAAATAAGAGGAAACTGAGAATAGCTATTATATTAACCTTTTCTAATGTCTACATTGGTAATATTATTCTCATGGAAATTCTGTGTCTTTGTTCAAAATTTCCCCGCAGGTCATGCATCTAGATGCTGAAAAAGAAATGATGTCGCAATGTGTTGCCTTACTTGGGAAGTTTATAGCTGTGCGGGAGCCAAATATACGATATCTTGGTCTGGTAAGTTGTTTGTACGCCAATTTTTTCCGTTCCTTTTCTAATATTCTGGCTTCATGTTTGTATCTTGCCTTAAATTGTAGTGGGAGTCCTATATATTCGTCCGATTCCATATCTTATTGAAGTCTAAGAAATTTAGAGCATGTCTGACAATTCTTGCAAATTTACTCTTGTATCTTAAACTCATGAGTTCTGTGTAAGTTACTTTAGATGAACTTTTATTACAAAGGTCTATCTCAAAGAAGTGGACTTTGGTAGTCCTTGAATTTGTCTTCCTGCACATGCAATTGATAACTATTTTTAATTTCAAATCAGTTTACAGAAAGTAAATTTATCAAATATTTAATATTATGTACATGCACTTATAAATCCCAAACTGGTAACTCCATCTATTAGATGAACTTTTTATTTAAGAATTGTGCCAAACGTAGTCTTAATTGTCAACATTAGCGTGAATATTATGATCTGATTGCTAGTTTCTGATTGCATGATTTGCGTAATGCAGGAGAATATGACTAGGATGTTGATGGTTACAGATGTGCAGGACATTATTAAAAGACATCAAGCACAGATTATTACTTCCTTAAAGGACCCTGATATCAGGTCAGATATGGGTGCTTTCTGTTTATAAATTCCAAGGGTGTGTTTGACACCCATTTTTGAAGATAAAATTTTTTAGAATAGTGATTGATGGGAGAATGTGTGGTGGAAAAGTTATGAAAAGTTTTAGATTTGTGTGTAATATTATTTTATTGGAAGAATGTGTGGTTGAAATGAAGTAAGAGAAAAAAATAAGATAAAATTTTTTAGAATAGTGATTGATGGGAGAATGTGTGGTGGAAAAGTTATGAAAAGTTTTAGATTTGTGTGTAATATTATTTTATTGGAGGAATGTGTGGTTGACATGAAGTAAGAGAAAAAAATGAGATAGAGAATGGGTGTCAAACATGGGCCAAGTGTTACGAATTTTTGTTTCTTTCATCATCTGCTTAATAGTTATGATCATAGTTTAGAAAACTGGACTGGACCGGACCGGCCTCTTCGAACCAGTCGTGTGACCTGTCTGGGTGAGACGAATGGATCTGTCTGCAATCAACCTGCAGAACATCCCCTTTTTCATGGACTGAAGGTTCAGGAAAATATGGGGAAAGGATTTGATGGAGAAGAAATTTGACCCCGTGACCTCACTTTTGTCTCCAAAGGCAATGACCTCTGAGGCAAATCTTGTCTCTTTTAGTTATTATCTCGATTCATATATATATATATATAAATTTCTATATTCACAGATCATCCTTAACTACAAATATGATTGTAGTTCATAAACTACAAGAAACAAAAAAATAAGTGTAGAGAATTAAGATAAATAAACATTGGGCAGTAATCTAAGCACGCGATTAAAAATACTAGAAACTAAGAAATAGCAAACAATTAGTAATAATATGTGATTTAAAATCATAAAGAAAATACTTAATTTTATTTTTAACTTATAAGACAACATAACTTCTAAACTTATTCCTCATATTTCAATTTTACAAATATTTTTTAGCCTCTGCTTGATCTACACTATTATCTCATTAAAATGAAAAATATGATCGTTATCCATCACATCAACATTTAAATTCAAATTTTTTATCTCTTGTGTGAGCCCCAATAACGATTATATTTTTCATTCCCATTCTATAATAATTTGTCTCAAACATGGCCTTAATTAGATTTTTTCATTTAAGAATGAGCCACCTGTTACCCTCTAGTTGAACCAGTTCTAAGCTGACCTAGTGCCATTGGCCGGGTCACTGACCAGATTGTTCTGAAAGCTACGTTTATGTTAACGTATATTTTTGGACCTAGGCATAGGCAACTTGTTGGACTCATTCATTTGCATGAATATTGACATTTGCGTGTAAAATGATCTAGTTCTAAGTTGAACTTATGGACTTGTGTAATTAGATACTAAGTAATGTTCATGGGGTGCAAAATTATTTTATTCACCAATAATGCCCAGGAGGCTATTACTTTTGTCATATTCTTCTGACCACATTTTGTTGTATGATGTTCTTTTACTGTGGTTCCTTTCACACAATTCTGGCGTTAAGTATTTGGGTTTCGTAGTTTGACCTTTTACGCTATGATTTCAACTGAAGGCCTGTTGATGATGAATTATTATTTATTTTGACAGTATAAGGAGGCGTGCCCTTGATTTGCTATATGGCATGTGTGATGTTTCTAATGCGAAGGACATAGTTGAAGAAATATTGCAGGTGCATAATAACTGGTCAAGCAGTCTACAGTTCCACTTGAAAAATTTTGTAGGTTACTCTTGTAAACCAAGAAAGAACTTCGCGACTGACTTTCATTATTTTCCAGTATCTTAGCTCTGCAGACTTTGCAATGCGTGAAGAACTGTCACTCAAAGCTGCGATTCTTGCAGAGAAGTTTGCTCCTGATTTGTCATGGTATGGACTATCTCAAGACTAACAAATGGTTTTTACTTAATTTTATTGGCTAGCAAGACACACTGAAATGCTAATAGTCTAGGGAATAGTCAGGTTAGTTTACATGTAAGACTTTCATCTTTTTAACAACGCAACACACTCAATAACATAAAGATAACAGACGTAATAATTGTTCAGCATAATTAATGAAATTGCATTTCTTATAAAAAACATTTCCACAGGAAAATAGGAACAAAAAAACTCATTTGCATGCAACCACGGCTTCATTAATTGGAGCAGTTGCTGTCTCGCATTTCTAAAATTGAACGAGAAATATAATTTTTTTCTTCTGGCTCTGTTAGTTTGTAATTAAAAATGTTGAACTACTTCCCATGTATCAATTCTGAAGCCTACTAACTGCAGGATAATTTTTCCTTTCAAGAAAATCATGTCTTTATCGTAATTCATATTAGTAACTATTTCTAAAGGTCAACTTCAAATTTGAATCATCCTGTGGCTTTTCACTATCCATTTCTTAAAATTTTCTTTAGGTAAATAGCAGATAGAGTTTACATTGTTTAGAAGATATTTGTTCAGCTTGTACAGTTCGATCAGAAGAGGTTTGCTGTTGAATCAGTGTAATCTAACCGACTTCGGCTGGCAGTGAAACAAATACTTATATCAAAATGGACGAGATATGTAACACTCAGAATTGTTACTTCAAATAATTTATATTCTTCATCCCCCCCCCAATGTCATGCAGGTATGTAGATGTGATCCTTCAGTTGATTGACAAGGCAGGAGATTTTGTCAGTGATGACATTTGGTTCCGTGTTGTGCAATTTGTCACAAACAATGAGGATCTACAGGTAGCTGAAACCGTTCTTATTGTTATTATCATAGTGAGTTTTATTTAGAAAGTTGGATTTTAGCAATACTCTTCTTGTTTTTATATCATATCAGACTTATGCGGCCGTAAAAGTTAGAGAATACGTTGATAAGCCCGCTATTCATGAGACAATGGTTAAGGTATGTTTACCTCACCCGTGATTTTATTTTCTATGTTCCTATTATGGTACGATATAGTGTCGGTGAATGTGTTCATGCCCATGATTGTAGTAGTAGAGCTAAAAAGTTAAATTGTTGTTTGGGCGTTCAAATGGTATAAAGACACATGATCATGTAATCCAACTCTAGTTGTCGGTACATTCTTTGAGTTGATAGAAACGCTAAAACACGTCACTACTTTGTTTGCAACTAATTTCTGGTTATCAATTCAGTTTGCATCAGATCATTGTCATAAATTTCATGAGAATTGATAGGCCGATGGAGTTAGTTGAGGGTACAACAACTAATAGAAATGAAGATGTGGTAGAATAAGAGTTAAAAATTACAACCTTGAGGGGTTGCTCAGTTGATCAGGCCTTGAGTTTGCTCCCCAATGGTCACCAGTTCAAGTCCTCTCAGGGCCAATGAGGTGAGTATCCGGCCGTAAACTTCAGGGCCATGGAGTTAGTCGAGGTGCGCGCAAACTGGCTCGAACATCCACGGTTATCCAAAAAAAAAAAAAGAGTTAAAATTACGTTGAGCTGTTTCTCTTTAGGTTTTTGAAGTATACATGCTCCAAATAATGAACTCACTTGTGTGATGTTCTGAATTTCAATTTCGTAAACCTTTGAAGTATTTTCTACTGAGAATTTATCTTAATGCTATGTACGGGACAGTTGAGTGCTTATATCCTTGGAGAATACAGCCATCTTCTGGCCAGGCGGCCTGGGTGCAGTCCAAAGGAAATTTTCAACATCATACATGAGAAACTTCCAACTGTTTCGTAAGTGCACTTGTTGTTTTCTTGTCAACTTTTTCTGATTCTCATCATTCGACATGATACAATTAAGTCTTATACAGGACTTCAACAATTCCAATCCTTCTATCGACATACGCTAAGATTTTGATGCACACTCAACCACCAGATCCCGAGCTACAGAACCAAATTTGGGCAGTATTTGGCAAGTATGGTTTCATCTGGAATGATTTGTTTGAATATTTTTGTTACTATGAAAAAGAGATCTCTCCTTTTAACAGAATGCCTTGACAAATTGTACTTATTTCCAGATACGAGAGTTGTATTGACGCTGAGATACAGCAAAGGGCTGTTGAATATCATGCATTGAGTAGGAAAGGTGCAGCTCTCATGGATATATTTGCTGAAATGCCAAAGTTCCCAGAGCGACAGGTAGGTGTATATGACTTGCAATATTGGTATAGAAGTAGTTCATCTTTCATTATGTTTATTCGGTTGCAGAAGGACATTTATCATTGTCAAATCACTTATAAGAGTAGCTTCACACAGTGTAGCCAATGCTAACTGACTTATCCTTTTTGATTCAAGTCGGCATTGATAAGAAAAGCTGAAGATTCTGAAGCTGATACAGCAGAACAAAGTGCAATTAAATTGCGGGCAGCACAACAGCAGACTTCTAATGCTTTGGTAGTGACTGACCAGCATCCTGCAAATGGGACTCCACCTGTGGGCCAGCTTAGTCTGGTGAAAGTGCCTAGTGTGAGCAATGTGGTGAGATGTCATTCTTTGCATTCTGATAAACCATGTTAACTTATATTGAAATCTGGTTGTTTTATCATAATCAAGTGTTAATTAACAGTTGTATTTGTGGACAGGATCAGAACACTACAGAGCAAGGGGTGACACAGGCAAATGGGGCTCTGACTATAGTGGATCCTCAACCACCTAGTACACCTTCAGCTGATCTCCTTGGAGATCTTTTGGGCCCACTGGCTATTGAAGGCCATCCTAGTGCCGCTGTCCAGCCTGAGCCGAACTTGGCCTCTGGTTTGGAAGGTGGTTCGAATGCAGCAGCAGATGCTTTAGCCATCGCACCTGTTGAAGAGCAGTCAAATATTGTCCAGGTACAACTTTCTTCTGCTTGCATGTGTACATCCAGTGTAAGCTTTCTTCTGGTTATGTATTAACAAAATGGTTCGAATTGTCCTTTCTGAGGTCTTTCATTATATAAGCAAAATTAACAAGCATACAAGGAAACTTAAGCTATACATGCTAATTACGTAAGAGTGATTTTAGGGAGCTATATTTGGTAAGCTAAATCTCTTCTCCTATTTACAGCCTAGATTAACGAGTCAATTAAAGAATTGATGCCGCTGTTATGTTATACAACATAATTATTGCTTTTTATTGACATCCCCCCTCAAATTGATGCGGATTTATTGATTAGCATCAATTGTTTATAAGAAAAGTATGTTGTTGCCTTAAGAGCCTTAGTGAAAATATTTGCCGAGATTGCTTGACACATGGGGAAGAGAAATAGTCTGAGCTTCAAATGCCTTACGGATGAAGTGGCAATCCACCTCGATATGTTTAGTGCGTTCATGAAAGATAGGATTGGCTGAAATGTGGATGGCACCAGCATTATCCACATTAAGATTTAAGAGAAGTAGGACCACATGGAGTAAATCCAAGCTCATCTAGTAGACCATGGAGCCAATGTATCTCAGCACAAGCTTGTAACATTGCCCAATATTCGGACTCAATAGAGGACTTGGGGACACGATCTTGTTTCTTGTTTTTCCAGGAAATAAGAGATGGCCAAAAAACATATACCAGCCAGTAGTAGAACGTCGAGTATCACTACATCCGGCATAATCAGCATCGCTATATGAGGCGAGATCGAGTGAAGTACCTATAGGGTAAAAAAGTCCCCGCAAGGATGTGCCCTGAACATATATGATAATTCTTCGAATTGTGGCCATATGGAGGTGTTGAGGAGAAGCCATGTGCTGACTTACCTGCTGGACTGCATAAGAGATATCGGGTCTAGTGATTGTTAGATCATAGTTTGAAAAAACATAAACGGGTATCGAGGCTTTTTTTGTCATCAGGTGAGGCTTAAGCCTCAAAACGTTTTGAGGCGTAAGCCTCACCACAAATAAAACAAGTGCAATCTGACGTCGATGCACTGAAAAAGAAAAAAGCTAAGCAAAGTCTAGTGAAACAATTTTAAATTGTAAGTCACTAGAAGAAGGCAGAAGCAAAGGAGAAAAAAGACATAGAAGAGCACTTGAGGACCTCTCTTAAGCGAAGGATTGAAGATAAGTTTTCTGGCTGCCGTTTAGTTCTGGGAAGATTTGTAACTGTCGTGTAGAAGGATTTCTGGCTGCCTTTTGGTATTCTAGATATTTTAATATTTTGTTTAGCCCAAAATGTCTTTTTAAGTGGGCCCTTCTCTTTTTTAAAGAGGGCATTTTTTAATTCATTTTCAAAAACCTGAAAAAAATATACTTCAAATGAGGCGCACGCCTCTTTTTTTTGCCTTGGATGTAGAGGCATGTGCCTCATTTTTTTTGCCTCACAGATTGAGCCTCGAGGCACAAAAGCTGCGCCTCACAGTGAGGCGGGCCTCAACAGGGTTTTTTCATACCATGTGTTAGATATACCAAGCTGCCAACAAGAGTAAGATAGGTTGTGGGGTCTAATAGCAAGTTACCTCTTCTTTACGTAGCTTGAGATTAGTTTCCATGGGAATATTAAGAGGTTTAGAGTCCTGGAGACCAATAGTAGCCACCTAGTCTTTGACATACTTGTGCTGTGACAGAAAAGTACCATGTGAATCAGCAGTAATTTCTAGACCAAGAAAATATGTGAGAGCTGAGATCATTCATGTGACAAGAGTCCTTTAAATGCTGCTTTAATTGGGAAATCAGAACTGAATCAGTACCCGTGATGATTATGTTGTCCACATACACCAAGAGAACCACAATACCAATCTTAGTTTTGCGAAGAAATAAAGATGCATCATACTTGCTTTTGAGAAAAGCAAACTTGAGTAGTGTAGAGGCAAATTTCTCATACCACGCACGGGGGCCTACTTGAGACCATACAAGGAGTGACATAACTTGCACACTGCAGAAGTAGGAGTGGAAAGTAAACCGGTTGGAAGATGCATATAACCCTCTTCCTTGAGATCTTCATGAAGAAAGGCATTCTTCATATCCATTTGATGCAAACCCCAATTTTGAGAAGCAACAATATCCAATACAGTGCGGATAGTGGTCATTTTAGCTATCGGAACACAAGTCTCGTCGTAATTCACACCATATTCTTGATTATTTCCAAGAGCTATTAAGCGGGCCTTGTATATGTCCAAATTGCCATCGGATTTGACCTTAATAGAATAGACTCACTTACATCCAAGTAGAGTCATACCTGCGGGACAGTCTACCAATTCCCAAGTCTCATTAGCTTCAAGAGCACATAGTTCCTCCTGCATGGCTTGCTGCCAACATTTTTCTTTAACTGCCTGTGAGTAAGTGGAAGGAATAACAACAGAGAATATAGTGGCTGAGAGTGCAGAATTACAGGTACCTACCATAAGTGACTCAAATGGTTAGAAGACCGGATACTCTAGAGGAGCGGCGCAAGGGAGCAGATGGCAAGGCAGGAGTAGGAGGCAGCTCTTGAAGTCTTCACGCATATACCATACCTGACATATACCTTTCTGCCTAAAAGTACTAGAGGTGTCATCAAAAGAAGGTAAGAGAAAGAGAAGGCTTCCGTGATGAAGACGTAGGAAATAACCATTGATTTTCACAGAAGAGCACATTCCCACTAGATTAAAGTATGGATCATAGCATAAATACCCTTTTTGTGTGACATTATATCCCAAGAACGCACAATGGATGGACTAAGCAGAAAGTTTGTTTGTGTCAGGTGGAGGAAGATGCATAAAATACGTCCAAAAGTGTGAAGATTTGAGCTGGTAGGATTGTGATGATATAGCCTGAAATATGGAGACTGGAAATCTAGAACTTGGGAAGGGAGTCTATTGATAAGAAAAGTTGTAGTAGTAAGTGCTTTTACCCAAGACTTTGGAGGAACGGAAGACTCAGTGAGCAAGGTCCTAACAACATATAAAAGATAACGATTCTTTCTTTCAGCAACTTCATTTTGTTGTGGAGTATATGGACAAGAGCGTTGAGAGATAATGCATTTAAATTGCAAGAAAGATTCGAACTCATGAGACATATATTCCCCACCCGAGTCAGATCGAAGAGTTTTAATAGTGGTTGAAAATTGGGTGTCAACAAGAGCTAAGAATAGTTTGAACATAGGAAAAACTTATGATTTGTTCTGCAAGAAATAAACCCACGTATACGGTATATCTGTCTAGTCATCGATAAACCTCACAAAATATTTGTATTGACCATGAGAAATGATAGGACTAATACCCCAAACATCACTATGAATTATCTCAAATAGGAGAGGTAGAGACGTGGAATTTTAAGGGGAGAGTTGGAGAGGTTGGTGGAGATGGAGGAGATTGCGTGGCGTCAAAAATCTAGGGTTACATGGTTGAAAGAGGGGGACAAATGCACTAAGTTTTTTCATAGGATTGCGAATTCAAATAGGCGTA